TCTTTCTTCTTTCTTTCTTTCTTTCTTTCTTTCTTTCTTTCTTTCTTTCTTTCTTTCTTTCTTTCTTTCTTTCTTTCTTTCTTTCTTTCTTTCTCATTTTCAGGCAGGGTTTTGCTATACAGTTCAAGCTGGCCTTGAATTCAATTTATAGGAAGGCCTGGTCTACAGGTCAAACTCACAGTGATCCTCCTACCTCCTCCTCCTTAGTGCTGGCTTTACCAGTGCACACCATCACACCCAGTGGGGCCATGAATCTAAATTGCAGTCAGGTATTTTGTTTCAGCAATGAAAAAAGTGACTAAATCACCTGGCTTCATCTTTCAGGTTTAACTAAGGTTTACTTACCCATAATAAAAAAAAAGTGAGATGGGGACAATTAGGTGACTGTCTATGACCACTTTGTTAAAGATGAAGCAAGATCACAGCTTATCTTACAGTTGTGCTCCAACTATTGTCATCAGAAAAGATTATGACAGACTTATAGTATATGTGTAGCCATTTATAATCTAATTCAAAAAGTCTATTGAATATACTAGAAGCATCAATGGATTTCTCCACAGGTAGAGTTCTGCTGTGAAAACAAAGTATAACAAAAGAAGGGACTTTAGATTTGGAATCTAAAGTTCACCTTTGTTCAGATCCTTACTGGGAAGGCTACTTTGTCAGTCAGGATGAGCTAAGTGGTGCTACAACAACAAACAACTTTAAAATCTTAGAGGCTTAAGACAACCCATGTTGACTTATCGTTCACAGTATATGTCCAAAGTGAATCAGCAGAAAGTTTAGTCTACTCCATAAAGATCTGGCACAGGACCCACTTTCTTATAATGACATCTTCTAGGACAACTTGGTGGCCACTATACCATGGAAGAAAGTGTTCACACTCGCAACTAAATGCTCTTGCCTAGAAATAATCCATCCCACTTTCAATCACAAACCATGAGTCAGGCATGGGCATAGGGCCTTGCCTAACAGGAAGGGGTATGGGAAAGGGTAATTTTCCTGGATTATGACCAGAAAACAATTGAATATAGGTGAACACTAGAACTCTTCATCACAAATACTTTTCTCTTTGGGAAGCTTCCAGGATATTTATAAATTTATTAATTTATCAATAGAGATGCTCCTGACACCATGTATGCACATAGTTGAATAAAATAGGTACTAGCTCTGTCTGTGGAGCTTATAGCCTGTATTGGAGAATGCTCCTTTTTGTTTTTAAGTGTGTATCCCATCATTATTGGGTGGCATGTTCTGTATGGGTCAGTTTGGCAGTATTATGCGAATAGTTTTTATTCTATGAGTTTTTTTGTCTTGTTGTTCTGTCAGATATTAAAAGGAGTATTGAAATCCCCAATTTTAATTGTTGAATGGTCAATTTCCTTTTCTTTCTTTTTTTTAAAGAACCTGTAATGAAGAAGTTTATATAGTTCTAGTCTCCTTTTCACCCTGGAGGACCATGTGAAACAATCATACTGTCAGGAACAATGGACATATAATGTCAATCTTTTATGATGATTTGCATATTAAAATTAATCACATCTTTTGGGGGAATCAAATCCATTCTCTTTATGGATGTTTTCTTATGCATATGCATGAGTCTGAGCAGATACATGCTGGGCAGTTCATACTCATGAGGTCTCTCCACTGACAGCAAAACTTTTCAGACACATTTCCTTTGTGAAAAATCATTTTGGATAGCATGTTGTTTTTTTCTGTGGTTTACCCCCATGCTTGAGATTTGCAGTAACACAGGACCAGTTTACCATCACTGCCAAAGCACTTATAGAGGGTTCCAACTTCCTGGTCTTGAGAAGGTATGAAAGATTGATTTACATAAATAAACAACTGTTCAGAAGCCACAAGTTTAAGGAACTTCTTAATGAAGTCAATGAGCCTTTGGATAATTCGCGTTTGCTCTACAGCCCACTTCTTTGTTTTCATTATCCGGGTGTCTCCCACAGCCTTTATCAGGATATTGTGGAGTACCACCTGAGCAGCTCTCCTTGAAAGAAGTGACTGTCTCCATTTTGACTGAGCCTGACCCTATTTCCTATGTACAGAGCTGGCTAGGACTTCTGTTTCTCAATTGGCCTTAGGTAAATGTAGGCCACCCACCTAGCTCTGCTCACAGTGATCACTATTTCCCACAATTCTCAGTCAATCCTCCTCAAGCCACTCCCCCACTGAATAAAAACAGGGTGAGGCCCTGGGTTACTCTCTTGGTTCCATAAAGCCATCTTTGTGGCTGGACTTAGAGCCCCTTGACTCCCCCATGATTGAAAATATAATTTAGTGTTTTTATTTTCGCTGTGGGTTGCATTGTAAGTGGTAGATTGGAATCAACTTGATGGGATTCCAATAACCTAACTTTGGGATTATGAATATTGGCTTCTTGGACTGAGACAAGGTCCAGGAAGTGTCTCCTACAATATTCCCCACTCTGAAGAAGTAACCTGAACTGCCGTGAAGGGATTGTGGGTGATGACCACTCTGACTTCTTCAAGCTAAAAGAAGGGTCGTAGTTGTTGACCGGCAGTCAGATACATTCTTCAGAGGTTCTGTCTAAAGGCCCATTAGATGACAGGCATTTTCTCTTGGGTAAACGTATAGTTTTGAGTCTGGAGGAGACAAAGCCAAAGAAACAATTAAGTATGCATGTGTCAAATAATCCCAACAGGATAATTATGAAAAAGACAAGTTAGAACCTTTTGTAGGTCCATTATCCTTGGGGAATTATAATGCAGATGCTCTTATTAACTTGATTTCTGTTTTTGATAAAGCAATAGGATCCCATGAATTTTTTCATCAAAATTCTAGATCTCTGCAAAGGGAGTTTAAAATTACCAGAGCTCAAGTGAGACAAATAGTCATGTCATGCCCTTCCTGCCAGCTCATTCCTAGGCCTATTCCTCAACAAGGATCTAACCATTCTCAGAGGTCTTTACCCCCTGTAGCATGGAGGGACCCCCAAACAGGTATGTGGAATGGTCCGGCATCACTCTTAAATTGGGGCAGAGGATACGCATGTATTGTTACAGGAGATGGAGAAACATTATGGATTCCATCCTGATGTGTGCGTCCATGGACTGGTCAGCTCCATGATGAATCAATGTCACTCAGAAGCACTGAGAGACTTCAGACCCCAGTCGAAGACTCCCAGGGTCTACGATGGAAGAGGCCTCGCCACTACCCACTGGGGCAGCTCCATGGTCAATATCCAACTCATGGATGCAACACATCAGACCCTCTAACCAGACCTCAAACAACGGATGTAACAGGGCATCACCCCCTGCCATGGGAAGGCCTGCAGCAGACCATTCGTGAGGCACGATTGCCAGGGTTTTATTCAATCACCTGAAAATCTTTTCATCACTATGCTTGCTCTCCTAGCAGCTACAGTATGTATTCCCCTGATTCAGGGAGAAGAGTATTGGGCCTATATACCTAATCCACCCTTACTTAGACCACTTACTTGGATGGACAGGCCCCCAGAAGTTTTCCATTCTATAGAGAGCAATACCCCCTCATCTACTATTCTGCCAGGCCCACAAATTTTAGTGCATCTACAAGAACAGACTAGGCTTAATGTCACATCTCATTTTATATTTCCACCCTTATGTGTAGCCCATCTACAAAAAGATTCTGGCCTTTGCATGACAATTTCTGATCAAACATGGAGAGTGCAATTGTCTAAAGGATGATTTGCCCTATTAGCTTGAAGTTCTATTCCCACAGAGGGCAACATGGTAAGAAACTTTAAACCTAACATTCTTATCTGTATTCCAGAAGCTCATGCCCCTCATGTTGAGGAAGGTGACTTAGGTCCATGGCAGACTTGCAGAGATCCTTACCATGTATGGGCTATACACAAATTTAATTATTCCTTTATAGACTGGTTCCCTACAGGTTTCCTTCTAGGGAAAGATCGAGATTGGCACAAGATTTCTTTTACAGACTCTTCCAACTATATCATGAACTCAGAGGCCTTGTCCAATGTTAAATAGAGAAACAGATTACTCTTACAGATAAGTTCAGGAGCTACAAAAGATAGCTTTTGCTCCAGACAACTCATTTGATACCTTGGTAAAAACTGTTTAAGTGTCTTATAATTGGAACTGGGAGAAAACCAAGGAGAGAAAACAAAGAGATCAGAAATGGCTGCCATTTTTGCAGCCTCAAAACAGACCCTAAGTCTGATTCTCTTGGATCCAAGAAGAGCTCAAGGACAATGAGGTTCATCTGCTACTGTTGTCAGAAGCCAGGCCAGCATAAGAGGGACTGGCGAAGGCCCCAGAGCTCAGACTCAGCTTCTCAAATGGTCCAGTGGGACTGAAGGGCCCTGGGCCTGCCTCTTCTCTCTGGCCAGACTGTTGCCTCTACCTGCCATCTCCATGGAGGAGCCCTGAGTAATCATGACTATAGGAGGGAAAAGAAACCCAGCCTATTGCTGGAAATTGGCACAGGTTTCTTTGTCTTTCGACCCTGACTTTCCTTCCAGTCATGGTACCTCAATAGAAACAGACTTTGAAAGACATCTTGCTTTAGCTATAATTGAGATACTACAATATGTTGAGGTTGCATACTAAATAATGATGCATAGACTGATTTTTTACAAACCTAATAATACTGTTGTTCCTGTACAAGATTTAAAAGGTATTTCATTGGTTTAATCTGACTGAGTGCTGTGTATTTCATGATAAGTATATGAGTTAACCTGGTTGATTTCTGACGTAATGCAATATTTCATGTTGATAGTGAATACATGTGTGACCTCTCTTAACTAAAACTAGAAGGGCTTACAGCAAACTGTCAGACTCCCTGAATAAAGGGGTCTAAGAGCTAGTGAGTTATGATTGCTAGGTCTCAAAAAAAAAAGGTTTATAAATGTACCTGTTAGCTCAAATGTTCATGCTTTGCTTATATGTGCTCTAATTTCTCAGAAAACTTGTTCTTTCTTAGAAGATACCAAAACCCAGGTAATCATATAGGTAAAACCTATAGTGAATATGCTAGGTTAAGATTTCTTTAACTGGGATCCACCAGATTTTGTCTCTGCTAATGGACCTACAAAAGGTTCTAACTTGTCTTTTTCATAATTATCCTGTTGGGATTATTTGACACATGCATACTTAATTGTTTCTTTGGCTTTGTCTCCTCCAGACTCAAAACTATATGTTTACCCAAGAGAAAATGCCTGTCATCTATTGGGCCTTTAGATAGAACCTCTGAAGAATGTACCTGACTGCTGGTCAACAACTATGACCCCTTTCAGCTTGAAGAAGTCAGAGTGGTCATCACCCACAATCCCTTCACGGCAGTTCAGGTTACTTCTTCAGAGTGGGGAATATTGTAGGAGACACTTCCTGGACCTTGTCTCAGTCCAAGAAGCCAATATTTATAATCCCAAAGTTAGGTTATTGGAATCAAGTTGATTCCAATCTACCACTTACAATGCAACCCACGGCAAAAATAAAGACACTAAATTATATTTTCAATCATGGGGGAGTCAAGGGGCTCTAAGTCCAGCCACAAAGATGGCTTTATGGAACCAAGAGAGTAACCCAGGGCCTCACCCTGTTTTTATTCAGTGGGGGAGTGGCTTGAGGAGGAATGACTGAGAATTGTGGGAAATAGTGATCACTGTGAGCAGAGCTAGGTGGGTGGCCTACATTTACCTAAGGCCAATTGAGAAACAGAAGTCCTAGCCAGCTCTGTACATAGGAAATAGGGTCAGGCTCAGTCAAAATGGAGACAGTCACTTCTTTCAAGGAGAGCTGCTTAGATGGTCCTCCACAGGATATCATTTTTTTTCTTGGTGTCACTGGTAGGTTCTTCTGTTCCCGGCAAAACTGCAGCAGAAAAAGGGGGTCCTGGTGTGGCTGCTTTGGGAGAGAGTTCCCCAGGTCCTTCACCACCAGCAGCCACAGCCCACGAAGGGAGCTGCAGCAGAGTCTGGCTTTCCCGCCATCTTCCTAGGAGAGATGTGATGGCGGAAGGAGCCTCAATTTCCTTTTCCTTTTCTGTCTTTGCTTAACATATTTTGAGACTCCGTTGCCAGACACCTAAAGATTTTTTTATTCTATCTCCCTGCTATGCTTACTCTTTTATCATTATGAAGTGGCCCTCTTTTCCTAACAGTATTTCTTGCCTAGAACTTATTTTATAAGATATTAGTATAATGTACACTAATACTTATATATTTTATAAGTATATTAGTATATATTAGTATAATGACTCCAGCTCTTCTATGAGTACTGTTTCAACATCTCCTTCCATCAGTTTACTTTAAGTGGGTTTATGCATGTGTACTTCAAGTGCCACATAGTTGGGTCTTGTTTGTGAAATTTGATTTCACTATCTTTGCCTTTTGATTGGAATTTTTAAAAGTTGCATTTAATGTAATTATTAATATGCTTGAGTTGTGTTTGATATTTTGCTGTTCATTTTTTCCTGTGTTTCTCCTTTACTGCTTCCTTTTGTGTTAGTGAATGTTTTTATGTATATTTTGATTCCTTTACTGATTTTTCAAGCTATTTTTGAATTGTTTTCCTACTGGTTGCTCCAGGGATTAAAGTATGTATATTTAAATAACTTCAGGTTAGTGTTGACTTAATTCCATCAAATTATAGCAGTTCTTATCTAGAATAGCTCCATTTTTTCCCTTTTCCTTTGTGTTATTGTCAAATAGATTTTGTCTACCTATGTTCTAAACCCAACACTACATGTTTATAATTACTGTTCTCAATAATTGCTTTTTAAAAAGTTCATAAAAAGAAAGACGAAAAGCAAAAGAGAAAAATATATGCAATCTTCATTTTTGTCCCTGTATTTATAGTAGCAGATACTGTTCCTTCTTCCCTCCCTCCCTCTCTCCCCCTCCCTCTCTCCTTTCTTCCCTTCCTTTTGTGTTTCCACCTAGTGTTGTTTTCCTTCTAACTGAAAGATTTTTTATTATTTGTTATAGGTTAGGCATATAAATAGTAAATTTTCTCCAACATTGTTTATCTGTAAATATCTTTACTTTGTCTTTATTTTTGAAGGATAGTTACTATGGAATTATTTTTTAATAGTTTCTTCCCCTCACAGTTTGAATATTTATTTCATAACTGGCTTCTGTAATTTCTAATGAGAAGCAACCACTACTCATCTTGTTGATGAATTGTTCTTCATGATTTTTACAATTTTTCCAGTTTTTGCCTTGCAGAAGTTTGACCAGATGTGTGTGTGTGTGTGTGTGTGTGTGTGTGTGTGTGTGTGTGTGTGTGATTTTAAAAATCTTCTATTGGAACTTTTATTATGTGTACGTTTATATGTTTAATATTTCTTCTTGTTTCTTTTTATTAATTTTCTATCATTTTTGGATTTATATTTCTCTTCAGTTATTTTTGCATTCAGGGATTCTTTTGTTTTGCAAATACATATTTGAGAAGAGTTTGATCCCTGGCGTGCTGTGCTGGCCCTGCCCCTGGGGTGTGCTGAGATGGGGACTGAGACTGGGCGGGTGTTGTGTGCCTGTAATCCCAGTGCTTGGGAGGCTGAAAGCAGGAGGATCATGATGAGTCCGATCTGTGTAGTGAAAACCTGTAGACCCTGTACTAAAAAAAAAGTGACTTTCTTTAACTTTTTGGACACATTTTATAGCTGCCATGAAACCTTTTTCTGATAAATCTAACATTTGTGCCCATTCAGAGCCAATTTCTGTTGACTGTGTTATTTACTTATTTTGTTGTTCATTGATCATTATTTTGTCTCTGAATGTCTTGTAATGTTTAATAAACTAGACTTTTTTTTTTGTCTCTTTGAGACAGAATCTTGATATGCAGTTCAGTTTGGCCTTGAGCTCACCTTATTTTAGCTCAGGCTGGTCTCAAACTCATAGTGATCCTCCTGCCTCAGCATCCTGAATGGAATGCTGGGATCACAGGTGTGCACTACCATGCCAGGCTCAAATGAGACATTTTCATAACGAATTATAGGAACTCTAGACTCTATTTTATAAACCACTTCTTTGTGTAGCCATTAATTTGTACTAATTATTTGTTTAGCTTTCCAGGAGTTACATTTGCTATCTATATCTTAGCAATCAGTCAGTGATGACTGGGCAGATCAGTCACTTCCTGTTCGTAAGATTTCTGTCCTAGGCTGGAATGAGCTTTAGGATTAAATAGGGTGAAAGTAGGGCAAGAGGCGAGAGGTGGGCCTAATTAAGGTCAAACTGGTTTGGACCCTTATTACATCAGGTCTGGCTCTTCCCAGTGGCTCAGAAATTGTTAAGGCTTGAGGAAACAATCTAGCTCCCATCATGATATGATGACTGTTCGTTAAGGAGACAGCATTGATTCTCAGTTTTGAGACGGTTGAATTGCTTTTTAAATAATTGTGAATATTCCTGATGAACAAGGGAGGTTGATATTGGAGGCTTTAAACATTTCTCTTTAAATGGTTAATTTTTGCATTTCTAATTTTCTGGTTTTAGTTTTGAAAGGGCCAGATGAACTCTCCCACCGTCTAAAATAATCATGTGGACAAGAGCTGAACTGTTTACATATGAAGCAAATGTTACTGGAGAAATGGGTAGGAGAGTTTGTGCATCACTGGGTTTTCTTATTTTGGGAAAGACATCTGGGCTTGTAGGTGATATAAATGGCATTTTTGAGGAAGTTGAGAACTAAGCTGTAAGTGTGGGATATCTTAGTAAAATGTTCCTTTTTTTGTGGTCAAGTCTCAAATGTCTTGTGGTTAAAACTCATGTTCCTTTTTGAAATTTCTCAGTAATAACACAGAATGTTGTTTATAAATAACATACAAATCCTACTACAATAATCACCCATGAACTGTACAAGTTGCTTGTATTGCGTCAGCTTTTACAGTTATTACGTTTGTTATTCTCTCATCATATAAGATAGAAACCCCCCCAAAACTGCTTTAATTGGCAACTATAATTTTCTGCAGCTTTTCTGTGTTTTATATTTTTAGATATGGTTTTAACAATATCATACTTTTCTTCACTCTGCATTTGTGCTTGTCCATTAATGTATAATTTTAAAAGTTGTACAGTAGTTTACTGACCTATAGTTTCTGCGACTGATTACCTGTTTTGGGGGTACTTATGTTGCTTTCCTATGTTTCAATTCTATAAAAATTCTACCTTGAACAACTTTTCATATAAGGCAGTTTTCTGTGATTTTTCATATTCCTTCCTTAAAATGGTTTTTCATGTGTGGAATTACTCTATCAAAAACAACAAAACAATTTTCAGACACAAAACATTTTAAGTGTTTTGATATATACAACAAATATCTATCTATCTATCTATCTATCTATCTATCTATCTATCTATCAATCATCTATCTATCTATCTTATTGCTTTCTGAAAGATTTCCATGGCTAGTATAAAACTCGCTTCCTTCCCTTGCCAGAATTGGCTGTTAGTATTAAAGTTTTTCTCATTAATATTCATATTAGATATTGATGAGGTAAAATTTAAAAGACCTATTTCAACAATTATTTGAATTTCGTTTATAGATTTTAGAGTCCCATCCTCCAACTTCCTGCTCTTCTTGCTCTTCCTTGCTCTCGTTCTTAGTGATCTTCTGCTTTTGGAACTGAACTGTTTAAGGAGGAAGGAAAGGAATGAACTTTCCTTTTTAAAAAAACTCAAATCAGCCCCACTTAAATTTATGTCTGGGCATCACAAGTGGTGATACTTTTTATAATGACTCTTACAATAATGGGTAATATTTTTAGTTGTCTGATATGACTATACAGACAGGAAACTTATGTGTACCATTTACAAATATTCACCCAACTATTATGAATATGAAGACTAGAAACTTATGTATAGGATTTATAAGTATTCAACCAACTGTTGGGCTACCATGTAGTGGAATAATCTATTTTCTGAGCTCTTTTTGATTCTTCCTTTATAATGTTGGTGTGGATGTGTATTTTTGAGACTTTTTCTATTCCAGTGATGTTGACCTTATTGTCATTATAATAATCATAATTTGTACAAATATAGGACTTTCTCCTCATATATCTATTTCTTTCAAAATATCACACTTTCCTAGCTATTCTTTTGAATGAGCATCAAAATAATTTTTTTCATTTGCTCTCTTTTCCCAAAATCTTATTCCTTAACTAGGATTTTGTAAAACAAAACAAAACAAAACAAAACAAAACAAAACACTATAATTAACTGAGTAAAAATTTTTAAAGATTTTGGTTTTTCTATCCAGGAAGAAAATGCTTCTTCCATTCACCCTGAAATATTGGGGGGTGTATTTTATAGTTTCTTCACATGGATTCCTTTGTTAAGCATATTTCTTAGATATCTTGAAATTGTTGCTATTATGGTTTTAGAATCCTTTTTTAAACAATCTAATTTGTTTCTCCTCATTATTGTATTTTGATTACACATAGAATAATAACATCGCTGGTGTGTGTGTGGTTAAATTTACACTTAAGGTTACACATTTCACTCTCACCATCTTTAATTCTAGCATCTTCGCCAGAGCTACATTAAAAAAAAATTAGATGGCCATACAGATTATAATACAGATACTGATATAGGGGAAAGGAACTCCCATTCTGTTAGATGTCTGGTATGAGTTCGTGTTCTCTAAAATCAAAGGATGAATTGTAGGAACAACAGAATATATTTACTGAAGGAAAGAAAGCTTCTGTCACAGAGAGAGACAGAAGGGACTGTGAATGGGTTGCCAAGGACTCTTGTTTTTTCTAGAGATTTTTACAGAGAAAATCCACAATGTGAGGTGAGTCCGAGGTAGGCAGAAGGGGAAATCACGTGGTGGGCGTGAGGTGGGATAAAACTACGGGCAAGCAATAAGATTACAAATATAATTGCTCAGGTAAAAGTGATTAAATTGCATCAAATGGGGAAGCAAGTCACTTAGCAAGCAGGTACGAATAGAGAATGCAGGCTTTTCCTGGATAAGGTTGAGTTAGTGAC